AAAAACAAAGAAAAAATTAGTAGTAAGTGACTTTTAATCATAAAAGAACACCAATCTTGTGATTAACGGTATTTCAAAAACTACTATCAAGAAAACTTCTCTAATAATACAGTAAAAATAAAAAAGAAATTGCAAAATACTTTGGTTGAAGTTAGATATCTGCACTATTGCTCATATTAGTCTATGCAAGAAGGAGTGACAGAGACATAAAATCGACGACGATGTGTATTAAGAAATTCGGGTGTCCGATGTTTCGGTAAGGTTCTGTAGATAATTTGCTTTAAAGTTTTGTTATTTATTTCATAAAGCAGTATTATTTTCACGAATCAATAAAAAACGGACTTGTACAGTGATATTAATAATCTAAATATCTCGCAAATTCTTAGTTTAAATGATAATTAAATAAAGGTTAGTTGTAATGGAAATAATAAATAATATTTTTCTTTTTTAATTTAATCTATGAATTTTTATAACCACTTTTAATATTACGGCCTATTTTTTCTTTTGTAACCGTGAAAAGCGTAAATAAAATTGTAATAATTAGTAAACAGCCTAATTAATAATTTCGTCGGTAAAAAAAATTGTATAATAAGTTACTTTGAAGTTTTATTGTTTAATCAAATAAGATAACGATTTTGTTAGCTACCTACCTAACACAGAATTTGATGACGCGGAACCCTAAATCGGTGCACTTTTGATTTAGGTACATTGGTGTTCGAGTTGCAATAATTACCTATGTAGTTTTGGTCATCGCTTCAGTCACGTCCGAGACTTTCACCGGTGTCGTGAATTTTCAGAGTTTAGAAAGTCAACTTACGTTATCGTTCTTTCGGGACTTTGGTTTGTTTTTAATACTCGTTCTGTTTACCTGTGTGTTGTGTTTGTGTGCGGTCAGTACAATGAGTTCGTACTCAAATGCAGAATATTACGAGATGATAATGTGTGTTGGTGCTTGTGACGGTAATGCTGCGGCTCGGCGGCGTTATGACGAGCGCCACGTGTCAGGAAGATCTGAAAACCCTCGACGTCTTCCTTCTTACCGGTGCTTCGCGGCACTTGTGAATCGGTTACATACAACTGGTTCATTCCATAGTGTGCCACAGGGAGGCCGGCCGAATACCTTTTCCACCGACACAGAGGATGTCATATTACGTCATTTTGCTGAAGACTCAACAAGGAGTACTCGTCGTAGTGCTCGTGTATTCGGGGTCAGTTATTGAAAAGTATGGCAGACTCTCCATAATGATCATCAGCATCCCTACCATTACCAAAAGGTTCACGAGTTGCTACCGAGTGATTTTGGCCCGCGCGTGCAATTCGCGCAATGGTATTTGGAAGATGGAAGAGCCACCAACATATTGTGGACTGACGAAGCCGCCTTCACTAGAGAAGGAGTTTTTAATGGACATAATCAACACTTTTGGGCACACACAAATCCTGGCGCGTTCCTTGCTTCGAATTTCCAACACCGGCGGCGCATCAATGTATGGGCTGGCATGATTGGTGACCGAATTCTGGGTCCAGTATTTTTAACCTCATCATTTGGATGCCCAGAATTATTTAATTTTCCTGCGAGGTGAGTTAGAAGACATGTTAGATGACCTTCCTCTGAGCAGCTACAGCTCGCTCTTATTCCAACACGATGGAGCACCAGCACATTACGCACGTGGGGTACGCGAGTATCTTAATAATCGGATTGGAAGGTGGATTGGTCGCGGCGGTCCGGTGCCATGACCCGCGTGATCTCCAGACATGACACCACTTGACTTTTTTTTATGGGGTCATGTTAAAAATGAAGTTTACGCTGAGTCCTGTGATCCGGAAACTGAAATGCGAGACAGAATAGTAGCAGTTTTTGATACATTAAAATCTGACTCGCAAATGGTTACGAGAGTAACACGGTCTGTGTCGAGTCGAATGGAGATATGTGTTTTACGAGGTGGCCGGCATATTGAGACCCTGGACTGATAAAGTGGAGGTGAAGTATAGGTAATGGTGACAAGTGAAAGCTGAAAGAGTGATTAGAACGCTGCCTTTAGGTATGTACCTGTTTAATCTTAAATTGTTTTAATTAGAAAATAATAAATTATGGAACTATTCGTTATAAAATATCTGAAAACTATGTAAGTACCTATCAAATAGGTGCTTACCTATTTTCGTATGTTTATTTTGTTGCAAATAAACTCATAGGCAGTCGATTGCGCGCGTCGGCGACATCAAAGTGTACCTATTCTAGGAAATGAGAGAAAGTGAGAGGTGATGAGAGAGAGAGCGAGTACGCCGGGACGGCACGTGTAAGCGTTCAGGGTTGTAGCATATTAATTGAAAACAAATTGTTCAAATATTTGTATGAAAATCTCAATTTACGTGAAATTGTTTTTTGACATATTAATTGTGTTCTTTGTGCTAGGTTGTATGGCCATATTTCGGGATTATAACATGTATTACCAAACACGCTGTATATACATTCAAATCGTTGTTATTGTCGAATGTATTAAGCTCTCACCCCAAAATTTGCAAACTGTGAAGTGGACAGTGGAGACACATTGATTGATGGAAACTTTCTCTTTCAAGACTATTCTCAGGAAAATATTAACATTAATTATGTCTCAACACCATCCACTTCACGGGACAACAAATATCAAGAAATTACAAAAGATGAGATGGTTTTAGAAAAAAATTAAGTCCAGCGCTCAGCATATACTGCTGGCTTTATACGTAAGCTGCCTAAAAACTTACACAAGCAATTCTACAGAGGAAAATATTCATGCCTATATTCAACATAGAGAGTACAAAATGTTAAAAAGTAATAATTTAGCTTATTCTAATTCAAAAATGCTGATTGTGTATAGAGATATGGCAATAATAAAATGTTAAAAAAAAACATAATAATATTATTAAACGACAAACTGGACAGATTTCCTGGTAGGGGTGTAATAATAACCATACTAAATTATTAAGGAATAATTTCTTGAACAATATTATAAGGCTCCATGTCCATAATTGGTGTAATATATAAAATAAAATATTAAAAAGTGACGTTGAAGAAAAAATGAAAATAAAATGGGAAATATTCACAAAATTGCATATGATAAATACAAAAGTTATCGATTAAGTAAAAAGAAATTAAATAAATAATTTTCATAAGTAAACCATTTTTTTTATTTAACTTAACTTCTAAGAAATAAACGTAGTTTATTAATGAATAACGTATAAACGCACAAGATACAAGATAAACTGAACATCGACAAAGTCAAAAAGTAAAAAAAATAAAATAAGTATAAAAGCCTCCTTAAAGAGGCCAGTATTAATATGTCAAAAACATGGTAAGGCTGTCGGCATCAGTGACAATTGGGATTTATTTCTGAGAAAGTAATATACCAGAAGCTAGGAGTGAACGATATACATCGATGTTTTAAAAACACTCGATGTATTGTATTGATACATCGAATCAAACGGATGTATTGTTAATTCTTAAACATCGAGTATACATCGATGTTTTTTGTTCTGATGCATCAAAAAGGCAAACCTAGTAAAAAAAATATTATTTTTTATTCTATCTCCGAAGTCCCAAGCTAGTCAACAAAACAAAAAATCAGTGTTGCCAGAAGGTAACAGGTGCAGTACAGGTTATAAATGCATCCCGAGTAATATTTCTGTAAGTTAATTTAAATGTATTTTATCATCTTTTTATACCTTACACATCTATGTTACTTATAGAAAAAATACGAAAGGTTTTTTATCTCAAAAGGGTTCCTTTTTTATTCATTGCAGGATACTTATGATAAGACCCGGCTGGCAACACTAAAAAAAATGCAATTGCAAAGGGCTCGTTGGACGTTGGACAAGTAAACAAAAGTAAGTGCGGCTTAATTAATAGTTTATGTAAATTAGGTAAAGTAAAAACAATTTTCGAGATTTCTATTATTGCAGAAATTAAAAAAGATTGTTGACTTGTTTTTCGTGCCTTATTTTCATTATCATTCACTATGTAAGAAGATAATGAAGTATAATCAAATATCTAGTCTGTGCTGTTAATGTATCTGTGGTTTAGAATGACATCTCCCTCTCCAGGGCCGGTAAAACCTTAAAAAAAAAAATCTCTCTCTCTGGTTCCGGCTCTTTGTAAAGCTGGAAACAAATTATCGGACGCGGCTGATGGACGCGGCTGTCAGCCGCGACTTATAGGCATCTAGGTTATGAATGTACACTAAGCTGTTCAGACTATCAGATGTAAGTCATGGACGTAACCTTGGGCTGACCTTCAGCCTTCGTACGTCCGACAGGAATCTGGCTCGCTGGATGTTTTTATCAGCCGAAAACGTCCGCAGACGGTATACACGGGGTGCGGGACGCGTCCTTGCATCAGAAGGACGCTGTCGACTCCAGAGATTCCACGTGTCCAAGTGCGTTAAAAATGGAGGAACGAATTATATAGTGTGTTCGCAACAAAGAATTACTTTATAATCCTAAATTGAAGGATTATAAAGATGTTATAAAAAACAAGACGCCTGGAAGCAAATAGCTGCCGCACTAAATATTACGGGCAAGTATTTAATTATTCAATTTTCAAAATCCGCGTAGATGCGTAGGTACCTACTAGTAGTACTTTTACAATTACAATTGTGAGTAAATGTAAATAAAGCAGGTATAAAAAAGATATGTGCCGAGTCAGACTGACTCCTGAATCGTGTACTATAATAGCAACCGTCTAGCTTCACATGTACAGTCGAATTTTGAATGTCCATTCCACTTTAAAGAGCATTATGCGGTTCGTCTCTCGAGAAGTGTAAATGAATCGTTACAATTTTGAACGTGTTTATATTTTATATCCGGATGGCCAATGAATTATTTTCTTGAAAATTTTAATTTTAACTCTTGTGACGCAATACCCTACCCTGAGTTTGTTGCAAACATATGGTTTGATTATAATTAAACAAAAGTATAGAACCTAATCAATCGAGGTTCTATACTTTTATCTAATTATAATCAAATAAATGATGAAAGCAAGGTCACAGAGACCTGAAAGGAATGATATCGATCTGTTTTTTGGCAGTGTCGCTGAGACTGTCAAGAAGTTTCCCAGATTGGAGCAGGTTCGATTAAAATTCAGTATTATGAATATGGTCCACGAGGTAGAGATGAAAATGTGTTTGGAAAGTGACGGAGCTTCTTCTTCAACACCTCCACATTACAATCACAATACATTTTCTCCATCACCTTCATCTCAGAGTTTTGACATTCATAACTCCCTTTTTCCTCCGGTCACTGAGCCACTTTCTTTCACCACAGTACGTACCTCAGCCTTCACCGTTACCTCAGAACGCATTATCTCCTTCTCCACCTGTTACCCAGATTCCTTCGCCACAGTATGTACATGAGTCTTCACCATCACTCCAGATCGCATACTCTTCTCCATCTGTCACCCAGCAGGTTTCTTCCCCACATTATGTACATGAGTCTTCACCCTCACCCCAGATCGCATACTCTTCTCCACCTGTCACTCAGCAGGTTCCTTCCCCACAGTACTTACATGAGTCTTCACCCTCACCTCAGATCGCATACTCTCTTTCTTCACCTGTCACTCAGCAGGATCCTTCCCCACAGTACGTACATGAGTCTTCGCCTTCACCTCAGATCGCATACTGTCCTCCTCCTCCTGTCTCTCAGCATATTCCTTTCTCACAATACCTACCTCATTCTTCACCCTCACCCCAGATCACAAACTCACTTCCTTCTCCTGTTACTCAGAAAGTTTCCTCTTCGCAATTCATACTCCAGTCTACAGCTTCACCACAGATGGCATACCGTATAGCTTCTTCGCCGAGCATTCAACCTTCAAGTAAGAAGACATCTGCGCATAGCCAGGGCACTTTAAAATATCATCTAGGGCCAGATAATACTATTCTCAAGGAATTTTTAATTATTAAAATAAAGAAATTAATGAATAAAGAAACATTTTGAAAATGTATTGTTATAGTACTTTTATATTTAGCCGACATGTATGTTTATCCTTCTTCATGTCATCGTGTCTGTAATCATATAATACTATAGTTTTATGGTTCGTCTAGAAACTTCATAGAAGCTTTTAGAAACTTGATAGAACCTTCTGGAAACTTTGTAGAAGCTTCTAGAAACTTCATATTACCTTCTGGAAACATGATATAACCTTCTAGAAACTTCACAGAACGTTCTAGAAACTTTTTAATTACCTATAAATTAAAAATTAAAAAAAGTATTTTTACTAAATAGTGCTTTTATATTCACCAGTGCACTAAAAAGCAGAAAATAAGGCGAATTTTGAAGCCATAGTTACTCCTCAACGAATGGAATATTCTATATGTATACTTATAATAAATTAGTAGAGAGGTCAATTCTGTACATGAAATATATTTCCAAAATAACTATCAGGGGGTGATTAGGGATCGAAACTGATGCCAAAAATACAATCAGTAAAATTTTTGTCTATCTGTATAACAGCTTATCCACAGTTTTTATACACGTGACGATATAAGCCGTGCCACGGCAGGAAAAACATGTAATCTAGACTCAAAACAATGTATGTACGGGCAATGCCAGTCCTGTAATACAAAAACTATAGAAATCTTTAACTATAAAGATGACATAGTTTCTTGGCTGCAATGGAACTTGAAAAAAGTTTCCTACATGAAAAAAAGGAGGGTGTACTCACTGAAGGTTTTACAAAAAAATTTGAGAAAGAAATTATGACGCAAAACTTGAGTGTTCTAGTACAGAAGTTCCAAAAGGAGGCAAGATTATTTAGAAAACATCACTTCAATATGATTCACCAACAAAAAGCTTTTCGGCAATGTGTCGACAATATAAAAAGTAATGAAGCAGTTATAATAGTGGATTTTTCGGAAAATTATCAATGCAAATATAATTGTGAAATACAAGGCATGCATTTTGGGTCTTCACGCAATCAAATAACTCTTCATACAGGAGTAGCATACTTAAAAAATAAGGATCCAGCCACACTTTGCTCAATTTCTCTAAACAATGAACATACTCCGTTAACTATTTGGGCGCACCTACAACCAGTTTTATATGACATAAAATATCAACATCCTGAGATAGACATCTTACACGTGTTTTCCGATGGCCCTACCTCACAGTATAGTCAAAAATCAAACTTCACTTTATTTGACAAATTTACAAAACAGCTTGGCTTTGGCCATGCCACATGGTCTTATTTTGAAGCGTCGCATGGAAAAAATGCTGCAGACGGTGTTGGTGGTGTATTAAAACGATCTTTAGATCTGTATGTCGGGTATAGGTCAGATGTTTCTAACGCCATAGAAGCGTTTAACTTACTGAAAGAAAGGACATCTGTAAAACTCTATTACGTGTCAGACAGAGATATCGAATTACTGAAAGAACTAAATGTTTTTCCTAATATTTTCCCGTTGGTAGGAACAATGTCCGTTCACCAAATTATTACTACAGAGACACCTGGAGTTATCAAATACAGACACGTAAGCTGTTTCTGTGGTGAAAAAGGGGGTAGTTGCCTTTGTTACAACATAAAAGTACATCGTCTATTTGAAAATGAAACTTATGCTTCTGGAACTATTACTGCGCAAGAAAATAATAATATTTTTTCTAAAAGAAAAAAGATAAAAGCAACCATGCTGATCCAAAAAAATCAAAAACTATAACAAAATCAAATCATTCAAAAATAATGACAATAAAGAAAACATTCAAAAGAGACAACGAACAAAAACGCAAAAACTACTACTGTCTTCTTCGGATTCGGATTGTGACATAAAATATACAGAAAGTGATGATAGCCCATTTGTTCTTGAAGAAATTGACTCTGATCCTAATGACTACACAGTTTCTAAAGAAACGCAGAAAATTAATATTTTGTCTGACATGCGATTAAGCGCCGATAATCGAAGTTACTTAAATTTAATGACACCAGGACCTTCATCGCTACACTTAACTAGGATTGACACAAATTATGATTTATTCAAACCTAATCAAGGAATGGTATACACGGAAAATGATTCAACTGATGAAGAAAAAATATTTGATTAATGCATAAAAACGAGTAACATCACAAAAATCTAATAGATTATATAATATGTCCTTTCTCTAATAAAAGCTCCTACATACATAAATCAAATTTCTTTCATTTCTTTTCTAAATCATACTATACTTATTTTGATTTTATGTGGACTTAGCTTTATAATATCAGTTTAGTAACATGATTTATCAGTTTAGTTATGTCTCAGTTTCGTTACATTTTTCAAAAGGTACATTTATTCTGCAAATGACCCATACTATCTTCGAACTTAAACATCAAGGTAATTTCATCATCAGCTCAAAAAACAACAGCGTTTTTGGAAAATATATGTTGCCCAAAGTTTCTATATCACGCGGACGAAGTCTCGGGCAAAAGCTAGTTTATTTGTAATTTTTTACAAATTTGGGAAACTTAAAATCTAATTTGTTATTATGAACGTAACTTTGTATGAAAGAGAGGATGAATGTTAAGTGCGTAAAATGAAAAGAATATAAAGATAATATCAGAATGATTGGTTGTGTGAAAGCGAGGTAAAATATGTACCCTAGGTGTAAGAGGGACGAATTATAAAAATGATCATGGCCGGCGCTACAGATAAAAATTAAAATATTGTTGCAAATACACTGAATTTCGAAATAATAAAGAGGTGGACACCCTCCAATCCGCATTGGACCAGCGTGGAGGATCATGGCCCATCCTCCTTAACCATCCATAAGGAAGGCCTGAGCCCCTGCAGTGGGGACGTAAAAGGGCTGGTGGTGGACATTCTACACCAAATAAGTGTGTCGTAGTGGTTATATTTGTACATCTACAAATAGAATAATGACAAATAAAATAATGACAAATTAATGAATTTGAATTTGAATTTGAATTTAGAAAAGGTAGAAAGATAGAGATAGACAACGTAGTGAAAAATGAAAATGGTATTTTAGAAAGCTATCAATAAGAAAAAAAATAAGACTATCGGAACAAATTGAATTGAAAAAATTTGAAAATGGAACTCCAAACGTGTGAAATAAGGTAGCATTGATCTTGAACATTCGATAAATGAAAATTTGTCCACAGAAAAATTAGAACATGATCCAATGAAGTTACAAATTTTACAAACTCAGAATTATTAAAAATAATAATAACTACTCCACCGCAAGGTATTTAAGTGTTTTCTACATCAGACACAAATAAGGCAATATTTATTGTTGGTGGTAATAAGATAGAAAATGTGTTTGAATGAATAAAACAAGTGGAAAGAGTAGCAAGTTTGACAAATTAGTCAAAAATTTTACGTTAATAAATGCAGTAAGGCTTCGAGGTGCTGCGAGTGTTGGCACAAAGCGTATGGTAAAAAAATATTATGGAATGAATGGAAAGTAAAATTATTATGTCATACATTTATCGGGCATTTCTGAGATTTTTTATTGTATTTTCTTTTAACACTAAACACTATCAGTCTTCGAAATGAACAACGATATCGTTATTCATTTCGAAGACGGCCGCATATTAAACAAATCGAATCGATAAAAGTGCTACAAAACGATCCCCACCTCAAAAAGCATAAAGATCGAAAAAAATTCATGATAAACACTATCGGTGTTACTAATAAACAAGGTTTAGCGTTGGAGTAAATTTACGCTGAGACTGCACTTAGTATTAACCAAAATTCATATTATTAACACAGAGACTTAGCAAAGGTTACCTAGTACAAGGTTCTACGGGAGTAATATTTACTCCTAGAATGTTACTAGGTTTGTTTATTCACTGTATAATAAGAATAAGGACTTGTACTAAAATTGCAATTTTAGCTTAAATTTACTCTGACGCTAAACCAATGCCCTCTTAAGCAAGTGTTTGAATATTTCACCAGATAACCAGGAACAACAAACAGAGCCCTATTATTCAAAGTTATGATGAGACAATTTTTGACTCCTGCTTTTAAAATTGATGATGTTGTTGCAATTAGGTAATGCGGTAATAATTTTATAACATTATCGAAAAAAACAATCACTTATTAATTTCTTAGAACACTCATAAGATTCTGTACAATACCTTGTACAGAATCTTCGAATGAGAAATTGAAAAATGCCAGTAAAATAAAAATCATAGAAAACATATTAATAGCACCAGCTCTGGAAACACCAGAGATTAACGTAGATAAGGATCTAATTAAAAACACATGAAATAGTCCTGACGTTATCACTTCAAACAAAGGACATCAAACCTGTTTCTGAGTGCTATCCGAAGCTTGGCAACAATACTACGAACAAAAAAAATCGAAAAAGGACAAAGAAAACCCAATTATGAAATAAAAAGTTTAAAAGACAGTTAAAAAAAGTACCAAAAACACAAAAGAAGAGGATGAAGAAAGATAGCAGAAGAAACACAAACCTATATTAAATGTGGTGTTTGTGTTTTTGATCTAATAAGTGATACTGAAGAAGAGGGCGAAATGAATATTGGCATAACTTAAAATGTACCATACTAAAGAATTCATCATACAGTCAAGCATTTGTCGTACCATATGTATGTATAATATATGAAAATGTAAGGAGAGAGTTTTGAAAACTTACAATACTGACTAATTAAACTTGTTGATTATTTTAAATATTAATTTTATGTGAGAATTACAAAAAATATAAATAACATAATTCAAATAATTATACTGGGTGGAACAGAACGACTGACACTCCCGAGGTTCCTAGAGAGTACTATTTGTCTTTAATACGATGTAAAAAAATATATATATCTAGGTCAAATAGTTTCGGAGATATTAAATAACAAATTTTTTGGAAAAAAAAATAGTGTTATCAACCCCGAGTCAGCTGTTTTTGGGACGTACTAAGGAACAAGTTTTTAATCGGTCATTGGCTTCTTCATTTCTAACCACGAAATAAACTAGTTTATGATTTATAAGACCGTTTTCATGCAAATTCTACTAGACAATCACTAAATCCGGTTTCTGATTTGAAAAAGTAGAAAATCTCTACTGCTTATTCTCAATAACCTACGTTTTTTTAATTTCACAAGTCAAATAGTCCTAGTTTTATCAAACTGTTATCAACTGATCATCAAAAAACTAAAATCGCAAACGAAAACTAAGTAATATTAGTTAACCGTTTTTTAACAATTTTAAACTGTCTATCACTAAACGAATCAGCCAAAAAGCTGAAATTAATTAATAGTAAAACGATTATTCTAATGTTAACTAATTTACATTACGTTACTACATTATTTTAAATAGTCAGAGTTTAGAAAAAAAATGTAACTAAATGGATCAAATAACACGATAATTTATTAAAGTAGTTAAACTAATACATCATCCATTAACATAAAGTACATTTGTGATAATAATGAACCATTATCACAAATGTACTTTATGTTAAAACACAAAGTAAGGGTTTGGTTACTTATTTAAAATGTATTTAAAAAGAAAATTCAAAAACAATTGCGTGGTAACAAAATACGAATTCGAAAAATAAATAAACTGAATTCGTCCCTGGTTATCAAAGGCAAAGCGAACCGAGCTCCATTCACTCGCCGTGCGCGCCAGCTTAAGGAGGCCATACATGTTAGGTTTTGCATGATGGTTTTAACTGTGCATGCATAACCGACAGACATAACCGAGTTTCATATTACACATATACGTAAGGGTTTGCATGCACAGTTTTGCCGTTACACTCAATTGAGCTACGTGACGGTGTGTGTAGGACGCCTATTTAAGTACTGTGAACGGTGTATACCTACCAAGCTACAATGGACGATGTGATAGCTATACTTGACTTAGCACTTGTTCTGCAGAGGAGAAAAAGAGTTCGCACTGAATGGTCTAAACACTGTTTATTGAAAAGAAAGCATTTCTCCCACGTAAATTTGATAAATGAGTTGAAATTTACACCAACAGATTACAAAATATATTTACGAATGGATGAAAAACTTTATTTGAAACTACTATCATTGATTACTCCTTTAATACAAAGACAAGATACTGTTATGAGGAAAGCAATATCAGCTCATGAGAGATTAGCAGTAACATTAAGATTTCATGCTACAGGAAGAACATATGAGTGTCCTAAATATTCTGCTATTATATCACCTCAGGCTTTGGGCCGAATAATACCAGAAACATATGATGCTATTTATGAAGCTCTGAAAGCGGATTATCTACAGGTTAGTAAATAATTAAAACCAAATTAGAATTGTGAGACAAGTTTAATAGATTGGTACATAGTTTAATTAACCTTCTTGAGTCTTCTTACGCGATGACGCGCGCGCGCGAGACCCTCCGCCGTCGTAACAAAAAAAAAAAAAAAAAAAAATATCAATTTTGATATTTGCTCGGCTGCATGTACACGCACCGATAACTGTACAGTTTTACCACATACACGCTAGGGCTTGCCTGTCGGTTATGCATGTACAGGTAAAACAATCATGCAAAACCTAACGTGTATAGAGGCTTTTTTGTTCCGTCGGCGTCTTTGTTTCAGTCACCGCCGGACATTTGCGTGTAAGGCACGTTACTGCATCGCTGCCACCGTACCGCTGCACAGTGGAAAATGGTAGAACAAGAGAATATCAAAAATACTTTTTACGAATATCATAATTTGTTTAATTTGGTGATTTTATTAGGATCTCAAATAATCGAATTATAATATTCATTAAGTTTTTTTATCGAAAATGCACGAAGTTACATTTTTTTCATAGGTAGAAGTACATAGAAGACGGGAGTGCCGAACTCGAGTCTTCGCATATACATGTTTCAAAACCATATTGTGCAAGATATATTGGGTACATATATGCAGTATTATACATTTTTGGAAAGGTTATTTCATGCTTATTACGTTACAGCTTTTTAATTTCTAAAGCAGCGACAATTATGTCAGTAAGTAATTAAAAAGTGGCATACTTTATTTTTTACTTTTCTTATTTTTCGTCTAAGGTTTTCAATATTACCCACGACTCCCCCACGCGCAACTTTTTATGTTAATTGATAGTCTAACTATTCAGTAACAGAATACAAAAAAAACAGCTGCGGAAGTTTGCGGTTTTAGAAAATATAAGAAATAATGTGTGAAAAGTCGGAACATAAAAATCAGTATCTTTTGCGGTTTACCACAGACACCGTTCACAAGGACAATAATTATATTACTTTTGGAATATTTTATTTATTTAGCGATAACAAAGGAATCTTATCAAATTTGCACTCGTTATGCGTGAGAAATTACTAGATAATAATTATGTGGGTACCAATTTGATATTGGAAAATGGGTATATAAAGGGAAGCAAAAACTATTCGAGCCATCTTCATCGGTGTAACTTCAAGTGAAGTAAAGCTCATCTACGCCTGAAATTTCCGCAAATTGTGAAGCATTAAAATGTCTTCCTTTAGCTGTATTAAACGCGAATTTATAATCCCTTATATCGAGGGCGGCAGGACCATAGAATCATTATCCAAAGTTTTAGTGGAAAGCCTCAATGTTTCTGAAAATAAATTGTGTTTTATTGTTAGTGATATACAAAGGCATATTCTTCCTACATTCAACAAGCGCTGGGACCAAGCATCTCGCAAAAAAGAAACATTTATAAAGAAGAATGGTGCTTGGCTGGACTCAGGGTATTTTTTACATTTCCCGGACTCCGAACAAGATTCTACGCCATCAACATCTGGCCAGCGAGGAAGAGCTTGCGTGCCTTATAGTGACTCCTCAGAATCTACCAAGAAGAGGAAAAACACTCTTCTACTCCAAGAATATGGCTTCGAGCATATAAAAAACGCTTTTGTGCAGGGACTACGGGCCTTAGGTGAGTACGAAGAAGCTCATCTTGTAGAAGAATTAAGAAACGCTGACACTCAAAAGAAATTTGACCTCCGTAATATGTGGAATAACTTAGACCAGATGAAGACTCTTTCCGATGAGGAAGCATTGAGTGCTTTTATAGATTTGGATCTAACAAAAGCACAATACATGTACCTGAAAAACTTAACCAACGAACGAAAATGTTGTATATTCCCGCCTTTCTACAAAATACAAGAAATAAAAAAAATCTTGTTATCCACCATTATCAACTCTGGAAATTACAAATACTTATGCTAAAGTAATTAATATTCAAGATTTATTGGATCACACTGTTGCTAGAATTTTAAAAATCGAGTCTGTTTTCCAAGAACAATATAGAACATTGACCCTTTACTGTAAATGGGGATGTGATGGTTCATCTGGTCAAAGCCAATACAAGCAAACACTTCCAGAAGAATCGGAAACCGTTTCAGATGCTAATTTGTTCATTACTTCATTGGTCCCCATCAGATTAGTTGATAAACAGTCGGGATTTGTTGTTTGGCAAAATCCGGTACCTTCATCTGTTCGTTTTTGTAGACCCATTTCTATTGAGTTTTGTAAGGAAACTTCAGTAAAAACCAAGGCAGTTGTGGATGATATTAGTAGACAAATTGGGGCTTTACAAGCATCACTGATAAACAAAAATGGTGTTTTAGTAAATGTGAAGCATGAACTATATCTTACAATGATCGATGGAAAGGTGGCTCAGGTTCTTACAGATACTCCATCTGGTTCCACATGCACGATATGTGGGGCTACTCCACGGCTAATGAATGACCTATCGAAAGTAATTGTCAGACCTGAAAACGAAAGCGCCTACCAATACGGATTGTCCACCTTACACGCCTGGATTCGCTGCATGGAAATGATATTGCATATTTCCTATAATCTTTCCTTTAGGACTTGGTCTGCTTCAACTGAAGAAAAAAAGAGATAAAAAAAAAAAGAAGGAACTCGTTCAAAAACGATTCAGGGAAGAGTTGGGATTAATCGTCGACAAACCTCGGCAAGTTAGCGGGAACACAAACGATGGCAATACCGCACGAAGATTTTTTTTTTAATTACACTTGCTCAGCGGAAATTACGGGTGTAGACGAAACATTTATTAAACGCCTGTATATTATCTTACAAGTTCTATCTTCTGGAAAGATGATTGATTCCAAAAAGTTTGGAGTATATGCAATAGAAACTGCAAGAATATATGTGAGTAATTATGATTGGTATTATATGCCGTCCTCCGTTCATAAAATACTCATACACGGAGAAAACGTTATCAAACATTTTGCAGTGCTTCCTATTGGACAGCTGTCGGAAGACGCACAAGAGTCTCGCAACAAAGACTACAGAAACATGCGACTTCATCATGCCAGAAAATGTTCCCGGTCTGCAACAAATGAAGATGTCTTTAAAATGCTTTTGTGCACGTCAGATCCATATATAACAAGTTTAAGAAAACCATACTTAAGAAATGTAAAAAATCTTGAAGTAGAGGCAGTATGTCTTTTAAAAGTGATCCCTGAAAGTGAACGCACATTTATTGACCCTGATCCTGAAGCAATATAGGTACTGTAACGTCCGAGTACATTACTATCGGTAGGGTTTACTCTTCGGACGGTTTATGGTCAAGTGCTGGCCGTTAATATTTTAAATCATTACTTTTCATATTCGAAATCGCGTTTCGAAATTCGAAATTTTATTTTTGTTTTTCCCATTTTTTTACCTCTATAACATATAACATATATGTATATAGAAAAACACTACAAATTATACATCATTTGAATTTCCAAACCTCACTGAATATTTGTCCTTTTGGTAATATTATATTTCTCTATGATATTTGTCCTCACCAAATTTCATTGCGGTACTATAAAAAATCATGAAGTTATAAATTTTTGATCCGATAACGACCGATTCTGCCCACCGTGCGCTGCGAAGCGACCAGGGGGGGCACACTTAGAAGAAAGTGTTTACGCTTAGAAACTAGCGCCATCTATGAACATGTACACAAACTTTTACATTTAGCAAAAGTTCACTAGATGTCAGTGCAATCAGCGTTAAATGTCATATCAAACGTCAACAAAGAAAAAACATGGCAGACAGAATCGATTGTTGTGCGGTGCGCCTGCGATTAATCTGTTTTGTTTGTTACATCTTGTAATTTCACGTTTAGAAGTTACATTTGTGCAAAACCTTTCCAAGCTAGTACGTTGAGTTGAGTATCATTCTCCTCCGTATATTTGACCAGTGTGAGACAGGACTCCTTTCGTGTTAGTTAAATAGTGAGTGTTTGGCGACATTTGGACGCAGTGATAGTTTAGTGTGTGTTGTGTAGTTATAATTAGTGTTTTAATATGCCTCCACGGTGCTTTCTTGGATGCCCAAGTGGTAAGTAGTATTTGATAAAGATTATAACCTGCGCAGACGACGGACTTCTCCGCCGACATACTAACCTAAAAGTGGAAACATTTCTGCGAATGCAACGTAAACGAAGATTGTTCTGCCCATGAAGCTCTTCCTGCCTCCTTGCTAGACCTTTACGAATAAAATAACCGTCGTATGTTTTGAACAAATGACGAAAGATACCACTTTTTAGTCCGGCGGACAAAAGTCCCTCGTCTGCGCAGACCGTTAATAACTATTTTCTTGCGGACACCATACTTTGTAAGGCCATCTAACTTTGTGACTTGTGAGTTTGAAACAGAGAACTCCCTGTGAGCACTGTCTTAAGATAAATGTGCACATGCCACCAACCTTTTGTACATGTCTATCATGACATATCATTCATCACCATCACCAGCCCTTTTACGTCCCCACTGCAGGGGCTCAGGCCTTCCTTATGGATGGTTAAGGAGGATGGGCCATGAGCCTCCACGCTGGCCCAATGCGGATTGGAGGGTATTAACGACTGCAAATGCAGCCGGGACCAACGGCTTAACGTGCCATCCGAAGCACGGAGTAGCTCGAGATAATAATTTTTTGGTCACCCATCCCGTGACCGACCCTTGCGAAAGTTGCTTAACGACTACGATCGCGGGCCGCGGCGCTTATCCACTACGCCACCGAGCTACTCATATCATTATTCATATTAAATAGTGGTCTAAAATGTAAATTTATATTTTTTTCAGATAAGGGAGTACACTTGCATGTATTCCCAAACCCAATACGATTTCCCGAACAATTTAATCAGTGGGTGCAAATTGTTGGAGGGTCACTGACAACAGATGGAGATTATGCATTCTATCGTAAACAAAGACTGTGTGATAGACATTTTACAGAAAACGACAGAAACAGAAATAACCGATTGAATGCTGTTGCAGTTCCATCATTGTTTTTGAAAGGTATATAGCCACAGTTACAAAAAAAATTATTGAACCCACATTTTGTGCTAAGAATTGTAGCTTGTAGTTTTTGAGATTATTTCATTATGTTTTTTATTTTCAGGTGAACTGCGACATCCAGTGACTGAAACTGTAGGTGCTTTTGAAACTGTGCCACAGATATCTATGGATGTACATGTACCCCTACTTCGAAGAACTTCTATTATTGATGGTAAGGAACTCATTGCTTAACATGTTTTTGTGCTTAAAATGCAAAGCCTTAAAAGTTATAAAACATTTAGATAAATAAATAAATTTACAGATGAACCTGCTGCCAGTGCCTCAGCATCAACAGTCCGAGTTTCTGAGCCTGCAACAGAAATTACTATGGATGTTTCTTGTCATCAAACATCATCGATTGCATACTCGACAGGTAATAATGTAGGAATCACTTGATTAAAACGGAAAACTGTAGTTTATACTTATTATGCCCTTAATGTAAAATATATATTGAAATTTTTTGTTAAAAAGTTAATAATATTTTTTCTACTCGACAATTGAGCTGTGGACTTGCTATGCCTTATACTTATTATGCCTTAATGTAAAATAAATATTGTAATTTTTTTGTTAACATTTAAATAATAACTTTTTTTTTAAAAATCTAGAATAATACGATTCCACTATCGAGCAATTTACAATTTTCAATTGTGGACCGGTAATCCAAAGGTTGCGGGTTCAACCCCGCCCGAGCCTTGTTATTTTTCAGTAAAAAAATTATATTTAAAGATAGCATTGAAAAATGCAAAGATGAAAAAGTTATAAAAAATTGAAATAAATAAATTTTCAGATAAACCTGCTGCCAGTGCCTCATCATCGACAGTCCGAGTTTCTGAGCCCGCGACAAAAATGACTATGGATATTTCTTGTCATCAGACATCATCGATCGCATACTCGACAGGTAATCATTTGAGAATCACTTAATTTGGCAATATAAATTTAAATTTTTTACTTAAACCACCTAAAATTTTTTCTAATACATATACATTCCTATACTATTTTACTCTCTACTTGTATTTATTATCATAACTAATGTTTTAGAAATTTATAAAATGGTTGATTACTGTAACTAATAGGTACTCAATGAATTTATAAAAAATATGGTTCTAAAAGTCATTACAATTTTTTTCAGGGCCAAGCATCTCCACATTTTTGGAGCATAATTATAGCAATTTATTGCTGCCTAGAAAATATAACATGGCTCCTATTGGTAAGATTATTAATAATTATATAATAGTCCTGTCAATGAGTGTTCAAAAGTGGCGTCTAGATGGAAAGCTCGAAAGCAGCAAGTTCGGAACTTTGTTTGAACTAGTTAGGAGAAAAATACACCGAAAGTTCGAAAAACGGTTAATTTTCAAAAATGTGATTTTTACTTCACGTTATTTCAAAAGGAACGCTTATGGTGTGACTAAGTCTATCTGTCTGTCTATCTGTCACAGCTGGATATCTCAAGAACTACTAAAGCTATCAACTTGAAATTTGGAATAGTCTTACCGTCGTTGTTGCCATCGATGATGGCGAATTTCACGAAAGACGATTTTTTGGACCATTCAGCAAAAAATCTCATCTTCATCATTCATTAACTTCTCTCGTTTTCAACGATTTCGGCCGTTTTTACTTTTTTTCACGCTTGTAAAGTACACAATTATTAACCAATTTCACTCTGAGAGGTCTCAATCGACGCGCAATCTGTCTTCGAAGATGTGTTTTCCTATTTTTTCAATATATGTAATAGTATTTTTTTAATTAATAACTTACTTAAAAAAGATTTAATTTTTTTCCAGATATTTTTACAATTTTCGAAATTTCTTTAAAACTATCTAGCCAATTTTCAAAATTCATTCACTATCGGATCCACAATTAAATTCTGAACCTGAA